CTGGGGGGGGGGGGTCGAGAGCGCGGTTGTTCTCCGACGGAAACCAGCAGCAACAAGGCGCTTCCTACTGTTGCTCTTGCTGGTGCTACAGGTGCCGTTGCAGCGCTGTACTAGGACTTGAATAGAGGGGACTAAAGCAGCAGCAGCAGCAGCACCCGAGGTTAATCCTCCCTCCTCGGCGCAGTGCGTTCAGAGCAGCATTGGAGCAGCAGCACCAGCAAGCTCTGCAGGAGCAGCATCAACGTCACCCAGGGCTGCGGCAGCAGCAGGAGGAGGAGCCTCTCTACATTCGGGATCGAAGAGAAGCACATGAAACGCGTGTGATCGCAGCAATCGCAGCACCATCGGGGACAGTGGAGGCGCCAGCAGCGGCAGTGTCACGCGTTCACGCGCATCAAATGGCGGGTACATCCGCAGATCCCGTGACCTGCGTGGAGCAGGGGTCAGGGGCGGGTGCTTCACAGCGGCAGCAACAGCAGCAGGATCAAGGAATAGTTGCTTCCTCTGATGCTGCGTCTCTCAGTGCTGCTGAGGAGGAGGATGAACAGAAGCAGCAAACAGAACGGAGCCAAAAACCCTCACAGAGAAGTGGAGACAACTCAAAGCGGCACTCGGTAAATGGCTGGGGTGCCAGGTCTCCGTCGGCAGAGGAGCAGCATCACCACCAGCAGCGGCAGGGGGAAGCAGGAGGAAGAGCAGAAGCTTCTGATTCAACGGAAAGAGAAAACGGCGCCGAAGCGACAGGAGTGTCTGAGGTGGCCTTGGGTGAGCTCTCTGGAGGGCTTCCTTCACTTGCAGCATTTTTGGCGGGACAAGCAAATTTAAAGGCCTTGAGTTCCACGGAGGCTGTGTCTAAAGGGGATGAGGGTCTCCAGGAGAAGGGAGAAGAGCCACCTGAGAGAGCACCGTCTCCTCCGGCAGCAGCAGCAAGTGCGCCAGCAGGAGGACAGTCGAGGGCCGGTGGGACGGCGACATCAACAGCCGCCGACGCGGGGGCAGGAGAGACAGCCGAGGCGGAGGCAGAAGCATCAGCTGCGCCCGGGGGTGAAGAATGTGGGGGGGAAGGCGGTTTGCGTTCGTCTTCAGCAGCGGCGGCGGAGGAAGGTGCCGTTGCTGCGGCGGCTACGCCGCGACGACGGCAGCGGGTTGTGGGACCCGAATTGTATTTGCGTTGGCAGATGTTGGCAAAGAGAGTAGAGCGCGTAAAGGGCGTTTGCTACAGCAGCACGCGCCACGAATGGATTGCGGTGGGGCCCGTGCAGCAAGGCAGTAGCGGGCGAAAGAAGAATGTGTATTTCTCAGTTCCGAGGTACGGCTTCTCTGAGGCGAGGCAGCTCGCCGTTGAATGCAGGAGGAGACAGGAGGAGATCCTAGCCGGCGGCGGAGACAAAGCTGTGGACGCAGCTGCAATTGCTGCAGAACTCACGGAGAAGTATAGGCAACGGGCAGGAGCAGCTGCTGCTGCAGCTGCAGCTGCTGCTGCTGCTGGCCAGCCGTTGCCTGATGGCGATGACAGCGACGAGCTTGAACGACTTGGTCTCACCCTCATGGAGGAGACCGATGAAGGCAGCAAAACAGATGGAGAAGAAGCAACAGCAGCAGCAGACACAGACAGCAGCAGAGGCGCCGCTTCTGGTGGCGCCGGGACCAGCGCGCAGCAGGCAGCAGCCTCCCCTTCGGGGGGCAGGCCCTATGAATTGCGGAAGAGGAGGCCCCCCACAACGCACCTCAGCGACGATGAGGCAACGGACGGAGCCGCCAGGCGTTCATACACCAGGACGCAGCAGCAAGTGCAGCAGCAAAACAATCCCAGAAAAAGAGGGAGGCCCCCGAGGTCGCGGGGTGGAGCCCCACTAAGCGACCTACCAGCCATCGGAGGTACTTTCGCTGCTGCGGACCCGCAGCAGCAACTTATAATACATGCACAGCACCAGCAGCAACAGCGGGGAGCTGCACCTACGGCGTGCAGCACAGGTAGCAGCAGTAGCCAAGGAGTGGGGACTAGCAGTAGCAGCAGCAGCAACAACAGCAGCAACAGCACCATTAATATGCGTCTTTTGAGTGAAGCCCTGGGGATGGTGCTGCAAGATTTGCTGAGGCTCTGCTCCTCCCCCTCAGCTCTTATTGCTGCTGGCGTTCCCCGCGATGCCGTAGACCTCTGCGCCCTTAGCTGTCGCTGCATTGAAGTAAGCGAACTGCCTGTGACTGTTGGTGCATAAAAAGCAACAGCAGCTGTTTGGGCTGCTGCTGCTTGCCGCACTAGAAAACTCTGTACAGCTTATCCAGAGCAGCAACTAGAGTTTGCAGCCAACAAGTCATAGTGTTGCTGTTTGCGTTCTAAACTAGGCAGGCCCATTCATTCCACTGCCAGTAGGCCCCATGCTTCCCGGGAGTTGTTTTCTCCTGTATCGATTTTCAGGCAAGTCAACGACGAGTGCGCGCCGCTACATCACCGCAGGAGTTAGAGGAATTTGTGTCCCTCTTTCGAGACTGCATTATTCAGCATAGACTACCCAGCAGCAGGAGGCCAGAACAGATCCTCCTTTACGTAGAAGCTCTTGCCCGGAAAGAAAGCGCTGCTGCTGCGGCGGCGGCGGCGGCAGCAGCGGCTGCTGCGGCGGCGGGTGGAGGAGCTGCAGGTAGCGGCGCAGCCACAGCAGCCGCAGCAACAGGGGGACTAAGGGGCTCTCAGCTCCAACAGCAGCAACTGCTGTTGCTGCAGCAAAAAGGCGTAAAGAGGGACGCTTCACCCGTGAGGCCTCTGAAGACATTGCCGTCAGTACCGCCACAGCAGCAACAGCATCAGCAGCAGCGGCTGCAGCAGCTCCAGCTGCTGTCCCTGCTGCAGCAGCAGCAACAGCAACAACAGCAGCAGCACGAGGGGCTTCGGAGGCCTGCGGCGGAAGCGTCAACTTCCCCACCAAAGGATGCAATCCTAAGAAAGTGTAAGTGCAAGGAATGAGTAGCGCCGCAGCTAGCAGCTTCTTTCCCAGTAGTAGCATTAGTAGCAGAAGCTGTACCTGCAAATCGGTCCCTGGTCGCTTCTGTCTGTTCATATATGTAGTTTGGGCTCATCCCACCGCTAGTCCCTTGTATCTTGTGTTCGGTCTTCGCTGGATGCCGCTCTCCAGCGTGCTTTAGTGGTAACGCCGGTGCGTTCGAGTTTTAGCCGGTTCTAGGGGTTGCTGCGTGCGGTGCGCTGTCGGTGTTGATTTGCATCGGTCTGTTTGAATTGGGGGATTGGGCGTCTTAGTTCAGATTTCGTTTGGGTTGATAGAGGTGTCCTGAGCGATCGTTCTCTTGAGAGGGTGTCCGTATGCGTGTATGCAGATGTCACCTTTGAGGCCTGGCGGCGCTCCTGCGTGGCTGCGTTGAACCGCGCAGAGAACTTCGGGGATTTGCGCCGGTTGCCGCAACTCCGAGATGCCATTGTGTACATCTTAGGCGCTGATTAGCTGTCGTCGCCCACAGGGACGCGAATAGGGAATTCTCACGCTGATGGCTGTTGCTGCAGGTGCTGCAGCAACAGCGAAGGCAGCACCAGCACCAGCAACGGCAGCAGGCAGCACTGGCTGCATGGTGCACAGGCACCGCCGGCGCACGACCAGCGACACGCAAAAGCTTGGCGCAATAGCAGCACCTATGTGTAGCAGCTTTTGCTGCTGCGGTAGGTGCGGTTGCAGCGGCAGCAGCATCGCACACAGCAGTGTGCAACGTGTTGTGGGAGCAGCAGAAAATGAGAGCAGACGCACATGTGCTGTAGGAGCAGCCGCATTTTGCAGTGAAAAGAATGGCGTGTTTTGAAGGCAAGAGATGGACGTCTCTGTTCCGCTCCGCTGCCCCTTTGTGGCAGCATGCAAACTTATCCGTCTTAGCGTGTTGACTTAATTGATTATCACGTAGGCATTGGTGGTTGTTGGTTGCACTGCGACTGCTCCATCTGCTGCTGCTTGCTGAAGGGCCTGGGGATGCGGGGAAGTACAGCCTTCCACTGGCAGCATGGTGCTTTTCAGTGCACGCGTGCAAGCCCGAGGGAAGTGGGTAGCGACAGAAACGAGCGGAGCAGTCAGCTACAGGCAAAGGTGTGATAGGTATAGGAACAAATATAGAGAAGTTTCTTGACGAGACACTGAAATGCCCACAACGCTGCAGCCAGCACTAAGTAAGCATCCGGAGTTACTGGCACTGCAATAGGGGGGAAAAATAATATGGGGGCAGGGGGAGGCACGTGCAATGCAGAGGATACAAGAGCAAAGAAGCTGGTGAACCAGAAGCCACAACGAAGGGCCAGAAACAAGAAAGAAGGGACGCAAACAACTAAAGAGGCACACCACCATCTGGGTGGTTGGGGCAGAATGCCTGCCGGTTGAGGTACTCCACCGTCCCTTCACAAAGCTGAGAAATGAGTACAGTGTGATTAGGAAACAAGTGGAGGAAATCGAGAGGTAAGGCACGTACAGGAGACAAAGGGGAACAAGAAGGGCCAACCCATCGTCCGAATCCATGGATCCTCGCTCGCTTGAGAGTGTCTCTGTCCGCCCCTCCTGTCTCCCCCTTGTTCCTGTCTACCCTGTCTCTTCTATGCGTCGCGTCATTGCCTACCCCTGTCTACTACTCCTGTGTGCTCCTTTATTTTGTTCACTTGTCCCTCTTCCTACCGTGCTGCCCCCTCTAGCGAATTCTCCTGCCGACCGCTGCCCGCGCTGACATGTTCGAAAAGGTCGGGGATGTCGGCGACCCGAAGGCTGCAAACAAGTAATGCAGGCAGCCGCCGCATAACGTCACCCGAATCAGCACGCCAATGCTTGACAATAACTTAGTTCACAGCGAATGGCTGGGTGCCACTCCAGGTGCCGAAACTGAAGGTCAGAAAGCCGAAAGCGGGGTCGGTGGAGCGCGAACTGCACCGCCGTCGCCCGCAAAACGTGCAGCAACTAGCAGCCCCTGGCCACTGCCAACCTCTGCTAGCCACGGCTAACCACTGATGCCCGGCCGTCTACCGGCTGGAGCACCCAACATGTACAAGCTACTGACACCTCTTCCAGTTGTAGCGGCATGCCAAATTGGACCTACTTGGCTCAACGGCTGCCACCTATCGAACTGTAAAGGTACGTGTTGGGCCGCTGCCACCGCAGCTGCTTTCGCTGCTGGTGCTCTTCTCGGCGCCCTGCGGTGGAACTGGGCGACCGCCGAGGGAGATAACCGCCAAACAGCACTACGTAAGGGTCAAGAAGCGCCCGACAGCGCGTATGTCACTGGGAAAAGCGAAGAAAATAACCAAAGACAGAGAGCAGCTCAGGAGAGGAATGTGACTGGGTAAAGCAACGGAATGTTGTTGTACTCAACCTAGGGCACTGAAACGTTTGTTCAACTACGCTGCTACGCTGCTTCTGCAGCACTTCCTGCCGGTTCTTGTGCTGCTTCTCCCGACGACTTACAGCTGTCGCTGCTGCCGCTGCTGCCCTTTTCTCCGTTACGGCGACTTTTCTGTCGCCAGCGCAAATCTGCAGTATCTGTTTCTTTTTCTGATTCGAATCTACCCACGTGTGCGCACACCGGTTATGCAGGCACCAACGGCAGCAGCAGGTGCTGCCTCTGCAGGTTCCTCTGCTGATGTTGTTCCGTCGTGTGTGCGGCCGCTTACAGATCTCCGCTGCACTCCCCAGGCTCGCAAACAGAGAGAAGGATCCCTCTTACGAAAAACAATACCGGCTGACTGCCTGCGTAAGTGTCTTGCTGCTGCAGCAAAAGCAACCGAATGCGGTCGTCAGCAGCAGCAAGTGCTGCAAATGCAGCTTGGTATCCTTCTGTTCCTTCGTGGTAGAGATCCGGAAACGTTGCTGTCAATCCGCTCTTCGCTGCCGCAGCTGCTGCTGTTGCCTTAATGACCACTTGCTGCAGCAGTGCCTCCCACAGACAGTCGTCGGGAATGGAGTTAAACAGATTCTGCTCGGCTGCCAGGGCCAGATACGTGGAGGCAAGCTGGCGCTCTTCCTCAGCTAGCTCCTGCAGTTCTGCCCACCTGAGCCTGACGAACTCCATGTCGATGCCATCGGCAGTCCCTTCAGCTGCTGCGGCGGCGGCTGTTGCAGCTGCTGCGTCTGCTGCTCTTGCTGTCAATCCTGAGTACTCCCGCGGCGGGGGCAGTGGTGGATTCCCTGCTGCTTCGTGCATCGTCTGCTTCCTCCCCCTTCTGCTCAATTGTCTGCCGACACTTCGAGTAAGGCCCACCTGTGGGGGAGGCTGTGACACTTGGTTTCGTGTGGACGCTGCTGGTTCTGCTGCTGCAGAGTTTGGTGTGGTGAGGAAGGGGGCTAATCGTTCCTGAAGTGCAGCAAATCTCACGAGGTACCTGTCCTTTACGATCCCCAACTGCAGTACCATCTCTGTGAAGGCACTCCACTTCGAGGTCAGCAGGAAGGGCGCTGCGAGGGCGAAGTCCGTCATTTCCCTTAGCCCAAGCCCCATAACCCTGTCCCTCAATCCGCCTTCCGCGGCAGCACCTTTGATGTTGCTGATGTTGCTGCTGTCGAGGCAAATGAGCGAAAAACGCTCGCAGAGAGCCTGCTGCATCAGGGGTAGTCGGGAGACATACTCGCTGCTGACTTCACGTGTGGAATCTGCAGCAACTGTTTGCTGGCGCAGCGCCATCCACCAGCCGAGGGGGCTTGCCTGGGTGGGTGTTGCAAGGGAGACAGTCTCCTCAACAACGGTTTGACGAAGCCGCCTGCGGGCCGTTGGAGCCACGCCAATAAGGAAGGTGACGATCGCTGCGGCCCATAGGAACTGCAAGGTGCTGTGCTTATCTGACGAAGAGGCCATCTGTCCAGTTCCCCCCGAGCCCCGAGTGGTGGGGGGCAGGGAAGAGGAGGGCTCCGGGAAAAACACAAAGTGCACCAAACCTTTGATGCTAGCTGCAGACAGCCAATAAGCAGCTGTCCTGTATGCGAGTTGGGTTGCAGGAGGCAGCCGAGCAGTGGCGTTGGGGCGACGCCTCCAGCTGCTGCACTGCCGCTACAGCTTCTTGTTCTCCTGGGTTCCCAGAGGACCCTGAGGTGCTGGAATACGCTTAATGTGCGCCCTTCCCAGTCCTTTCGGCACAGAAGAACTTCAGCTAGGAAGAAAGAGGACAGCAGCCCAGGCGCCACCAGCTGCCGTTGCTCCCCGTTGTGGCATCACTAGCAGCGCAGGAACCGCGCTGCCTAAGGAGCTATGGCCTCCAACTTTTCCAAAAAATGCTAAATTGAACCAAGGCAAGCGAGCGCACCAAATAACATCTGCAGGAAACTGGTTAACTTCACCCAAGCATCGCCGTCGCACAGCCAGGTCGCGGGCCCTGCCTGGTGCCTGTAGTGCACAGGCACTACAATGGGGCTCTGGTGTAATCGCTAGTAGCTCACTAACCGTAAAGAGAATGATTAGGACATTAGCGATTAAGAAATAAAATTAGTGCTGCAATTTGTTCTAAGAATCGAGTACCGTAGATGGAGCCCTAGGGTAGTAGGATTACCTCTATAGCTACCACTATGGCAGTATAGCAATACCATGTCACTACTGGGGTACCACCTAGTCACTACTTGGATTCCAGGTAGGCCTCTTTAGAGATCTAAGCGAAAAGGAAGTAGAATTAGTACTATATAGGAGTATTATGTCTATAAACACGACTTTGTTGGATAGCAGTTATAGGTCAGGCACCTGACCGTCTCGTCTCCGTTAATATCTCCCCCTCGTCATCCGATAGGTTGGGCGCTGGCACCCAGCCATGACCAGAGTTAATTCAGAATAGTCCTATTATTCTGGGAATTTCCCGTGTTTATAATAGAGGCTCGAATATGCTGTGGAACGTTAAGTATTGACTTCCGGGAAGTTGGTTAGTTAGAGCATGTAGTCAGGAAGCCAGACGCGATGAGACGATAAGTTAGCACAGCTCAGGACGGCTGCGAACTACATTTGGGGGCTGCTCCGTGAAACAGTTATATCCTAAGTTTAGTACATGTAAGTTCGCTAGACAAGCTTACGTATCTAGGATATACGCGCAGTGCCGAGGGAATAAAGCCCGCCGCGAACAAAGATTCGGCCATTAGGGTATGGCCTGAATTTTTAAATAACGAGACGCACGTGCGACAATTCTTAGGGACTAAATTATTGCAGAATGTTTATGGGGGAATTCTTTGCAACGGTGTGAACCGTACTAGAAAGGGAGCCACCTTCCAGTGGCCTGGGGAACATACGCAAGGGGTGCGCAAATTGAAACGGTGTCTTATTGACTACACGATCTTACAGGTTCCCGACACCTTGAAACCTTTCCAACTGTGTACGAACGACTCGGGATATGCGATGGGGGCAATCCTGGAGCAGGAGGGACAACCCAACCCATAGGATTCCTGAGCCAGGTGATGACCCCATCTCAGGCGAGATATTCCATTTACGATCAGGAACTTTTGGCGCTTGTTTCTGCCCTGGCGAAGTGGGCACATCTCGAAAGGGTTTCCAAAGTGACGACCTTTACAGATCATCAGGCTCTCACATATCTTCAGCAGCTCAAAGCCTCTAAACTCTTACGTGGTCGTACTGCCCGTTGGCTGGATTCCCTTGCTGAACTCCTTGATCTTACGATAACCTATTTGCCAGAGGTACGCAATCAAGTACCCGATGCTCTGTCACGTCTTCCCCGTGACTCTTATACTCTTCAGCACTGCCACCTAGTCCCCAGGCACCGTAAAGTCTGCGCAGGCGAGAGTCGTGTCCCTAGTGCCGGCAGCTGACTTGGAAGTTGCTCCCGCAAGAATCAGGGGGCGGTGTGCGAATTACAGGGAACTAGCGGGCCTCCGTGGCCGAGCACTACAGTGCCAGCTACCTGAGCATAATGCGGCATTCACTGCTCTGTTGTCTCCTTGAGTTTTTCTTCCTTTACAGAGCTTTAAGAACCACTAAGGTCAATCTAACTGCTACTCAATGAGTGCGCTGGAACGGCGGAGGTTTTGCATCTGCTTCCTCTCCCCAGTTGTGAGGGCAACGACCTCCCCAGAGGTGGGTTTCTCTAAAGACTCGAAGCTACGCAGCCCAAATCATTCGGAAGCCATCCTTGACAAGTGTTCTCTGCTATGCACAGGGGCTCCGCAGAACACGCTGCATTCCATAATACCTGTAACAATGGAGGGGATGGAGCTCAGCTGGCAAACTACAAGGCTGGGCGGCTCGGCACAAACTGCTCCCGAAGGCGAGTGTGTGCATTACTGTGTGGCCTCCTGTATAACTGGTACATTGGTTTCTGTCTCTGAATTTAGTTTATTTGGTCGTTTGCCTGTTAACGGTTGTACCTTACAGTACCTGCATTTGGTGGGCTGATACTCTAGAGAGCCTCAGCAACCTTTGGGGTGAAAAAATCGATGCTACCAACATAAGCGCTTCACTATAGGAGAGTGACTCGGCCGAAGCAATACTACGACAAACATAGCCTGTTAGGCAGTGGATTTTAAGAAAACGGACGTCCGGAAATGTGGGCGTCGTAAAGGCAGGGTAGGCTGGCTGGCATTATCCTCAACGGGCATCTCTCCTTGCGTCGTCGCATTGGACTGGCTGTTAAATTTAACTATCGCTGGACCTGTGTTGGTGTTTTTCTCCTGCGTGCACTGTTAGCGAAACGGGACTTTCACGTGGTGCCAGAGCTGGAGCTGCTCCGGCTGCCCCTGAAGGAGCATCAACGGGATCAGCTGTCTTGTTGTTCTCGCTGTCGCTGCCGCTACTGCTGCTACTGCTTTTACTGCTGCTTCTACTACTCGCCTTGCTGTTGTTTGAGCTGCTACGGTTGCTGCTGCTGTTACTACTACTGGTAATCTTGCTGCTGTCTTCACTCCTTGCGCTGTTTTTGCTGCTGTTGCTACTTGCGTTACTACTGTTTTTGCTATCGCTGCTATTGGTGTCGCTGCTATTTATGCTGTGGTTACTTTTGCTGAGACTACTGGCGTCGCTTGATGGATCTGAATCTTCTTCGGTGCTTCGTTGGCGGCTCAAGCTGTCCACTATAGATATGTTTGTTGCTGCTGGGCTTGCCGTTTCATTTTTTGATGCATTGTCCGGGAGTGACGTTTCCCCACTTCTGTGGGTATCTACTTTTCCCGTATGTTGCCATTTTGCCAGTTGTTCTGCTATAGCCTTAATTTCTGCTTGCACAAGGTGCATTTGCTGTCTCTGGTGATGTTGCTGCTGAACACGCTGCTGCTGCAACCAGCTCGGGTGTCCCTGTGAACTCTGCCCACCTCTGTACTGTTGCCAGTCTTGAAAATTCCTTCTATTTTCCCGCTTTCTGTTGCGGCTGTAGTGCAGGGCGGTGTTGATATCCTCCAGCAGCCGCTCCACTGCAGCAGCTGCAGTTTCCGGCAGTGGGCACTGCTGAGATTGTAGCATTGTGTTAAGAAGGGACAAAAGGGTCCGGAGATCCTGATGCAGCAGCACGAGCCACAAACAGCAGAAAATGCATTGCGATCAGCAACAAATCGCGCACAGGTTGAGCAGAGGAGTAGTGTGGTAGTTGGGAAAACAGCGCGATCGCATAGTTTCTCGTGCCTTAGCGAATGCAGTTAGTCAATGTGTGTAAACAATTACATCTTAGCAGCCGCAATGAGCCATGATACCTGCAGCAAATCATTCCAAGTCTCAGCTGTGGTTTCGTTGAATATTAGCGCTCGGCTGTCTTTATCGTAGTAGCTATTGCCAGCAATAGCAACAGCCACAGCAGCGCCTGCTGCTGCTGTTGCTGCGCTCTGCTGCAGAAGCCGCAGCAGCCTTTCACGGCATTGCAGCAGTTGCTGCTGTAGTTCTCCTTCCGCTCTTGTGGCGGGCACAAAGTACGGCTGCTGCTGCTGGCGTTGCTGTTGCAGAACGAAGGCGTTCGCAAACAGCAAAAGCGACGGAATATCAACTTTCCTTGCTGCCTCTACTAAGCTTCTGGGAATGTCAGTTTTGGGGTTTGTTGGAGTTGATGTCTCGTTTCTCATCTCGCGTTCCATTGGTGCTGCTCCTGTGGCAGTGTGTCTTCATCTACACATGTGAGCTCCTCATATAGGGCGCCGATTTTATAGTTGAGTGACTACAGAGTTTTTTTGCGCAAATGAGGAGAGCAGCATCCGTGTGCTGCACCGGCAGTGGTTGATCTGGTTGGCCTGTTTTCAGCGGGCTCAAGCGTTGCACTCCGCGCCACAGAGGTACAAAGCAACGGCAGAAAACTCTTCTTGTGTCAGATGATTTCTAATCAACAGTTGTTTCTGCTGCCTGCTCTGCTGTTCCCGTAGGCTACAACCGCAGGCAGTGGGTGCCGCTGCCTTACCGTCCGTCACTGTCGACGGCAGCTGCGCCTGTCGGTCTCTCAAGTTGTCGTGAACAGATCACAGCGTCGTTTAATAATTTCAAATCAATAAAATATAATAAAGTAAATTCATACTAAGTTCCGCCCAGGGGAAACGGATGAAAAGTACCTGATCCCCTTTGGCGTCTGGGCGCAGTTGTACGGTAAGCTCTGTAACGGCCAGCTGCGCCGTTTCGCGGCAGAAAAGTCACCGTGTTTGCTGCTTGCTATTCGCCCTCTAGTGATTAAAATATGCTGATAAAAAATATTTACATAATGTTTATTTACAATTTAAGCGGCTTTAGATAAATCGTTCCCTACTCTTCGTGCACTGGCGTCACAATATGGGTTTCGATGCCCTCCACCATTGTAGTGCCAGCACTACAGTCACGGATCCCTGCAGGACGTTCACGTACATACGTATACATGTGTATACGGTCTGCCGTGGATGCATACACGCCTAAGTTTGATTCTTCAACCCCTAGCGTCAAGCAAACTTCACACGTTAACTCGGGATGCTCCGCTTGAGTTGTCCTAGTAGCACTACGTGTGAGAGACAGTGCCATACACAATTTTCTGCTAAGTCTATCGTGCGCAAGCTGACTCCAACAAATAAATGCTGTCCCTCGCTCTTCCGCCTTCTGTAACCTGCACGTAGCAGCCCAAGGACTTCAGGCGTTGGGTGTCTACCCGCTATACCCGCTGGCCTTGCTTGAAACTCTGTTAATTCTATCAGATGTGTATGTTCCTTCTCTTACCAAGTAGCATTTAAACGTGTCCATCTGCTCCCCTCTATTTTTTTGCTTTCGTGCCCTTGTACGGGTTTTTCCACGTGAAAGGCTTCGGAGGGTTTTCGCTCCTCGCCACGTGGTTCAACTCCCCAGCTTCCTGTTGTTGGTCTGCTCTCCAACGTTGTGCATATCTTCTCCATTAATCTATAGCCCGCCCGTAGAAAACTTCCAGTTGAGGTCGTTAATGCGCTCACAAACGACTTCTCTCTGCGGGCATTCACTTGCCCATCCCTCTAAATTGCTTGTGGTCGCGAGTGATATCTGCACCAGGTTTTCCAGCCAAGCTTGAAATAGCAGACTTCTCATGGTAGTCAGTGCATTATTTCGACCTGCTAACGGCAATTGCTGGGAACTCTTTGCTTGCTGCCACATACAACGGCCATTCGGATGGCAAGCTTCCGGCAGGGGAAATTCCAGCTGAAGATAGCTGAACGCTACCTCAGAACGTACGAATGACTGGAGACGCAGGATCAACAGCATTCGACTGCATGCAAGTGCTAAAGTCTGGTGACAATCAACCATTGCACTAGGGGTTGGAAAAAAGGCCTCGGCTGCAGAGTTGCAAAGCGGAAAGCCGACGGGACAAGAGAACAATGACGCTGGCTAATAAGCAGTAGCCAGGACTTTGTGCTTCAGAGTCCAAGGTTCGGAACGGCAATAGACAGCCAAGTAGCAACTACCGACTTAGGGAGCAACTAGAACCATTTGCCATGGCATAAGTTCACCAGTCTAACACTGCGATGTAATGCTTGGGAAGATAGAGCTGCTGCAGGTCCGCATATACGGCTAAGTAAGCAGATTTGCCTATTAAATTAGGGTCTGTTATGGAAAATTAGAAACGAAGAGAGCTCACGTTTCATATCATGGCATGTACGGACAGCCGTCGTTAGTTACGGTATGCCTGCGCCTGCATACCGGCAGATCCACCCGTCTTTAGCCTTTTATTGGGGAAACTTCGATGGCTTGCCGGATTCTGCATTAGAGGCGAAGAGCTGTGACGCACCAGGCTAAGCTGAACTTTGCGAAATGCCGCGCGGAAAGCTCAGCAATTTTAGCATGATTTGACTAGACCATATGCAGCGGCATATGTTGGTAACAGAGACGAGCTTGATGAATGGTTTAAGGAGTCCACGTAGACTGTTAACTGGAAAGCTGCTCCATCTTGGAACCTCTTGATGCCAAATAACCTGTTCATTTGTCATCCGCTCCAAAGGTGGTTGTTCCCGTAAACGGTGCTCCTACCTCTGCTGTGCAACAGTCTTGGGAGCATTATATTCAAGGCGTCGTTGTCTGCTCCCCGCGCGAACCATTTATACGGCTGGTGCCACTAACATTAGTCACACAATTGAGTATGTCACGTTGAAAAGGACGGGGGGTTCTTTTAAAAGGTCGGCTACTTGGCACACAATCTCATGTGCTTCTTTTGATGCTGTGGATGCTGTCGGTACTCTGCATAGCAGAACAGTGTTGTCTTCCTCACAACACCTGCTTGAACGCAAGCATCCTTCTCCTCTACAGAACAGCAACCGTCAGTTGGTGTTCCTGTTGGTGTCCCCAAGGTGAATTTACTCTTCTAACAATACTAGCGCAGCCTCCCTTGCTGCAGACATCTTGAAAATGAACCAAACTAACACAGAACACTCCTCAACATGATGCTATTGCAGCTGATATAACACACGGCGCAAATCGACCCACCTACTTCCAAATGAAGTGATTCTGGAAATTCAAAAAGAAATTGAAATATCAAAGAACTTGCCCCTACAATAACATGGGAGCTGCAGCGGTGCCGCTGGCTACACTCTCAATTCGTCTAAATGTGCGCAGTATGACTGGTTCCTAGCAGTGCTTCACATCCTCGATTTATCTTTGCAGAACGTTTCCGAGGGAGGCGTTTGTTCTGTCCTCCCATGAGCACTGATATTGAAAGAAATTTCCGGAGGTTGTAGCGGGGAGACAAGCTTTTCTGCCACAACATCGTGTCTGCTTATATCTGTAGACAGAACATCTGTCCTGCGATGCCCATGCCCCTCCGCCCGTCTGAAGCTTGACGATGCACGTTATGAAGTTTACTCCAAGTCCCAAAGCTGCATGCGCAATACCGTCATTTGCAACAGCTGTGTCAGTGTGAGGTGCTTTCTAGAATCGAAAGCGCGCTGTCGTCTCTCCAAGCCCTCCACGCAGGAGCCCTGAACTTTCTGGGGCTTCTCCCTTTGCATATGAGCTCTTGCTTCAGCTCAACAACGACCCGAGGAGGAGGGCGATTCCCTGTTCGATACACTCTTAAGGCGTCAATAAGCCTATGTACAAGTACAATATGGTCATATGCTTGCTCTGGGCGATTCACAATCATCTCTGGAATGCGTAAAAGTTTATCCGTGAATAGGTCCCACCACACGTGCTTATTCATAACTACCCCCAACACTTCACAAACAGACCACAAAGAATCTACCACAAGAAATCGAGTGCCTAGAAGGGTCAACAACTCTCCTGGAAACAAGCGCATTTTTTGTACACGTTCATGTTTAAGCTGGAAATATATCAGCTCCCCACTCAGGCGCATGAGATGGGAGGCATCATCCGCTGTGAGCTCCCGCTTAAGAAGGATTTCACGTAATGGCAGCAGTATGCTGACGAGCCACCTACGACCGGGTTGGCATGCAACCTTGTCGTACTGAAATGCAGCAAGGGAACCCAACGCAGGAGACTTAGGCAAGCGATAAAACAGGTGTTTACAGTAGAATTCATTGGAATCTCCTGCTAGTGTAGTACCCTCTGTATATTCGGCCTTCAGGTAAGACACACAAACACAACAGCTCTGCTGTCAATAAGCTAGAGCAACGGATTGCGAGGCGCACAATAGCTCGTCCCAGCGCATAGCGAAGCCATACAATTGGCATCAGCCTCTCTGTGAATGCTTCTCCTATGGTATAATGCTTTTAAGGCACTTAGAAATGGCGCGAACGAATATCCGAAGAAGGCAAAGCCTGCCACCAGATAGTGTTTAAAAATGAATGTGTGGTAAGGTTGGCTAAGGCCGTTGAGCGTGGCACGACACAAAGGAACGCTCTTGTGAACCTGCTCTATCTGCAGCAGCATACAAAAGCTTATATAGAATTACAGCACAGCTAGTCAACAAAAGAATAAACAAGATTGCCGGGGGCCAAATACAACCAGTATCAGTGACAAGGTGCGGTTGTGAGACACTCGAAGTAATGAGCAGGCTTACTGATAACTGAGCAGGCGTCCACTGCAGCAACGTCAACTCGTTGGGCGAATGTTCCCGCCCGTATCCTATGTCACCATTTGCGCCAAAAGAACCGTGGGCCTTACCCGAAGCGGCAGAAGACATAGCGTGAGGCACAGCCACAGGCATCCCCTGCTCAGAAACACATATGATGAAGCGAAAAATGCCTGGATGAAGCAAATACAAGTAGAAATGGGCAAACTAAAGAGTAAAAATACTTTCGAAAACAATACAGGTAAGCTACACGGCATGTGGAAGTATGGTAGGGTAGCCCTTATGATGATACCACAATGGCCGGTCAATTTACTGTTAGTGCAGAGCTGACAGAGGCCTCGTTCTTTAACTGGAACTGCTGCGTTCCCAGCTGTTCAGCGGCATTTGGGATTGAAGTCACGGAAGGCTTCGTATGTGCAAGCATTGCGGTATTGCACGTTTTCCACTGGTTGTCGCCAAATTCTGGGGAAAACTGATATGTTTGATGAGTGGTTTGGAGAGCCTTTTGAGCGTCATCATATCCAAGGATCTGTTGTGAAGTGCCTTGGCCACAGTCCAACCACGCTGGTCCTTTATTGATATGCTGGGCACTTTTAAGTTCCATCGTTGGCTCTTCAGCCTGAGGCGAGAGATTTAACAGGACCATGGAACTGTCCCGAAACACGGATGATGGAAACTGTTCAGGGGCTCCAGACAACCAACCTGCATGATGCCACCCACAGAAAGACAAAGCTCCAATGTATTTCAAACATTTCAGGAAGACTGGGGTCGAGGCCTGCATGAATTTTGGCGTGAGAGTTCCTTTGTAATCCTACCTGGACTGGATAGTTGCAGGTTGGCTTGTCCCATGTTGGCTAGTCCGTTTGACCAACCTGTTGCTCCAGAGAGCTGGTGCCCAGCCAACACAGGTGATGGCTGGGTAGTCTCAACGGAGTCAACCAGCCCCGCCGTTGTGCCCTGTGATGATTCGGTCGAGTGCATAGGCCCAGTTCGGCTACTGTGCAGCTGCTCAAGCTCGTCCCCGTATTTTTCCAGCAATGCGTCCATCCACTGAGTAACATCACCAATGCCCGCGTGGGGCGACGGTGCAGAGGTTTCTCTGTCTAGTGTCTTTCCAAAATCAGCACCTGAAGAAGAGCCACTCTGAGGTGCCGTCAACCACTGGTCTTCCTGAGTAAAATCTCCATAAGAGCTGGTCGACGGTGACAGGTGTGATGCCTGCGCTTCAATCCTGCCCCTTTTAGTTGACGAAGCCTCCTGACGGGCCCTCTGTTCTGCACCCCTTGGTACTGCATATTGGTAATTGTTGGGATTTGCTGTTAAAGGATACTGTTCTTGGCCAGTTCCCACAGGCAAAAAGGCAGGGAGATGTGACAAGGCGTGACCCGCTCCTCCCTGGAGGGGGCTCCATTCTGTGAACAACCCTGCACAGAAGTCATTAAATGCGCCTTCGTTTTGGGAATTATTGCCCTCTCCCTCACTACTGGATAGTCGACGCAGCACTGGAACCTGCGGCGATGCCTTCTTCTTCGGAAGTACACAGAAAGACACTGCCAGGACCAAATGCAACAGTAGCGCAAGTGCAGCGCCGGCAGGAAGCTTCAGGTGCTTTCTACTACTCCAAACAGAAGAAATGGAAGTACTTTGTGGCATAGAACTGGTGTTGTTGTTTGAATGGTGATCTTGCTCAGCTGGTGAGGCACCTATCAAGTTATCATGCTCCCGAAATGACGTTGCCCACGCTGCGCTTTGCATTGCAGAGATGGTAACTGCAAATGCAGATATGTTCGCATAATTATATTGTGCAATTAGGTCCTCAGTGCACAAGCGACGAGGAAGACAAAACTGCGGGCATCATGCGAAGCCGGGCAGTTCGTCACCTGGAAAAAGCAACAGTTTGCACTGGCACTGGCAGTATCCAATACAATACAAGACCAATTTGTAGATAAATTGAATTTATCGATTTGCCAGTTATAGTCTACTTCACAGTGAACCGATATTCTACTTAAACGGGAAGCAGTTCGGGCCCACAAACACACACCCACTATCGACGCCGAGGACTGCGTGCTGGAAGCGTCCATGCCATACTGCGAACATCAATGGCGCCGGAGAAATGACTTTGGAAGAAGCGCGAAAAGGCGGGAAGCGTATGTTATAGATGCAAAATAATTAGTTGCGTTGGCTTCTAGGTCGCATGGGCCCTACGTCGAGACCCAAAGGGTGTGGCACTACTCCCACCGTGCCCACAGAAACCCCTGTGCACGGCGCGACAGTTGCAACAGTTCCTCCCTGCTGTGGGAGTCTCATATCTTAGAAAGACATCAAGTTTTTCGTTGGTTTACTATTCTGGGGTCTATTTGGGGAGCTTCCTACGGACAATCAAGCAAACGGAAGAAAACCTGTGGTTGACTTGGGATCGCGAGCATCACGAAGGGCACGGGCTTAGTGGACACATGCATTCAGTGTATGTTTCACACTTAATTTCCCCTAAAACATCAACTGAGGAATAGAAGTGTTTCTGTTTGGCCCACTCACTCTCGGATGGCTTTTAGGAAGATGGCAACGGACCCATTTTCCGACGGGAATTATTCGACGCCAACTACATGCAGATTAGAGTAGATGCAGCAGAAACTGCACGCGCTCTGTATTGTGTAGGCAGGATAGCTGCTGAGGTGTTTTTGGATACCCAGCTTCCATAGCCCTTGTAGGACATGCGATGGTTTTTGTGGCCTAGAATGCTGATTAGCACGTTCATCAACCAAACTCTAGCGAATTCCTCCTCCAGGTGCACTGAGAAAAATTAGTACAACATTAGGAAATAATTATATCCATGCTATCCATTTGGGTGTTTCCATGAGCAAGGGTAGGGCTACACTGCATTTCAAGTGCAGGGGCTAGTCTGCGTCCATTGTAAACTTTTGCTTCTAGTACAACAGTAATGAAGAAGCCATGTGAAGGCTTTGCTGTTTGCCCCGCTTTGGGTAAACAGTTAAATGCGTCTCTGGATACCAGGGGAAAAAAGGCCACAAGTCTGCCATGTAACGCAGGAGAATAAATTTAGACAAAATTTGTGTTTATCCCGTTAAATTGGACCTGTGGCGTCTTCTGCTTGTTGACGTGGCTCTGCATTTAGGTACACAGGGCATGTCTTCTATATAGCAGTCAGTACTTTTACACTGCTGGCGGTTTCCACACCGCGCAGTGAGCCCCGGAGTGATCGTCACTACTGCACTCCAGCGGTTACTGCCTGGTGCTTGCAGTTACCGTTTCCATCGGCACAAGTTCTCGTGATTAACAGTGCCAACAATCGCACGCACAACATTACTCTTCCCTATGCTGTCCGAGCTCAGCGGCACTCGGCATTTAAGACCGGTGAGATCGTGAACCGAATTTCGTCCGCCAGCATGGCAGCTACGCTTCATACGTTTTAGATCATCTAGGAGCTTTCTAGTGGAATCGAGGTCAGTACACAACGTCCTCATACGGCGAGATCTAAGCAGCCGAAGTCGCTACAGTACGGGACTCGGAGAAATGTTTTGTAGCCGTAGATGGCTGGATATTCCTTCTACGTATGATTACCTCTAGTATAATTATACCTAGGAGCCCAAGAGGCTACGAACTGTAGCTGTCAATTAAAACACGGAGAAGAAACAGACTGAGAGATAGATGAACTAACCAGAGGTGGCTACTTCTTCGTTGAGCGATAAGTGTAGATGCCTGGTTCTGTAAGAAATGTACTACCTGTGATATGGGCCCGCATGCACATCTGGCCTTGGAGTTCCCGCATGCCAATCGACTTATGGACTTCTCTTGAACGGAGCGCGAGTCCCTCCTTGTCGTCGAGTAGCCCATATATTGTCAGCGATATTATTGAAGCTGTTTGATGCAGCGTCACAACGTTGTTAATGCAAGGCTACTTAGATGTGTAGAATCAAAAGTGCTCCTAGTGGCCACTGTCTTTTGCGCCTCTGCATCCTATTAATGCAACTGCCACCATGTGGGACCGTGCTGCAACCTCGTCCCACGGGTGTGCTCTCCGGCACATCCTTGGCTGGCCTGAGATTGAGGCACATTAGAAAAACAACATAGCCAGTAAAGGCATAGTGGCATTTTCAATGGCTGAACCTTGAACATAAGCTTGCGTAATGCTGGGTATGTGCTTTGGTTCTATAACCTTATGATGTTCCAGAAAGAAAGTCTCTCGATTGATTGGCAAGCGGTGGTCGCATGAATGCTCAAGTTAAAAGTAGTTGGTAGGCTCTCACCAACCCTGGAATTGAACTTTCATACAACGAAATCCTACTATCCGGAACTACAGGAAACCAATCTAATGTGTTAGATTGATGTGCTGCTTGCTTATCTCGTTGAAATGTCAAGGTGCACGTTCTGCAACAACATTACTCCCTCGCTTCACAGGTAGCAGCACAGCCATCAACTGGTGTTGAACAGGCCACCGATGGAAAATAAACGCCACAGAAGAGTCACTAAAAGTCGGAAGCCTGGGCACGTGCTCACAAAAGAGTACTGCGAAGGCTGGAATGAGCTTCCTTCGCAGATGCTTCGTAGCTGGATGCACTCTTCCAGGCGGAATACGGTGTACTGCAAGCACGCACTCCATAAGCTCGTAAGAACAACGTATCTACAGAAGGACCCGGATCACTGCGCCTTTTCCGGCTGCTCAGGTTTGTGTGGGTAATATCCGAGCTTCTCTATCTCCTGCAGGACAGCAGATAGTGCACCTTCACTGCTGTTCACCGTGATGTAGTCGGCTGCCTCCTTGGCAACATCATCACCATCCCCGACGCACACCGCAACACCCGCTTCCTTGAACATGGGCAAGTCGTTGTCAGCGTTCCCAAGTGCAAGGACATCTTCACAATCAATATTTAAACGGCTTGAGAGCTGGAGGAGCCCGGTGCCCTTGGTGAATTCTGCGCGATGAGCGCTGAAGGCACGATCGGCCCACCTTGTGAACCCGATCTCCCCACCAAATTCCTCTCTTAGAGGTGGTAACACTGCGTCAAGCTTACTGGGATCGTCACGCACCACTGCCCGGTATTGCCCAGTGTAGGTATCATCGCGTGTACCCAGAACCGGTCCAGGCGGTGTCTTCCCGAAAGATACATTATCAAGTCCATGGGCGCTAAATGAACGAAGAAGTCGTTCCTTCTGGCCTTTGGTTAGCGGACCATCCGCGATAATATCTCCATCCCGGTCCACAACGTACGCGCCATTCACAAACACACCGGGGAAACCAAAGTACCCTATTTCCTGCAGCGTATCTGAGCCAATTACATCTTCGGTAGCCTTCGGGTCTTTCCCCGTAGCAAAAGCAATTTCTATTCCTAGCTCTTTCGCCCGCTTAAACCCTTCGATATTCCTCGTCGAAAAAACACCTTCCCCTGTAGTGAGGGTTCCGTCTACGTCTACGACAATCAACCGGATTGGGCGATCACGATGCGGGAAATGTGTCTTTTGTACACTGACCGAAATCGCTGGTCCAAAAAGTGATCCAAGTGCTAAAGAAAGGCATAACAACACCCGACGTAGTGCCATTGTTGGGGGAGGCGGAGATGCTCAGGTCTGCCGGTGGAAAACTGCGCCAACAAGGGGGAAAAGTAATGTTGGTAAAAGCGTTGCATAGACAAAGCGTAGACCTGCATAAAATTCTAGTTCATCTGCATTGTTTCTCTCTGATGTGCGGGTAATACACAACAACCCAGCGAGTGGGGACAGCAAGAACGGCGACGCGCGATCCTAATCGAAGCCTAAGCAGGGGAAACCATACTATAGGCCAAATGCTTCAGTGCAAACGTGTATACCCCTTCACTTTTTGTTATTAAGATCCTTTATCTCTTCCGGTTGCTAAAGGGGGAGGGGATTCTTGGCAGGAAGAAGCTTGTGTTTATGTGGAGTTCCTACGGTTCGGCAGACGTCGCCGTAGTACGTGTATGTTCCGAATAGATGAGGCAACTGTAACTCATGAAATCTTGTAGGTGATATTCTAGGCCTAGTTTCCACTGGCATTATCTATAGGATCCACTGGATTTAGCTTTGTACTCCCCGCAAGTCCGGTCGAGTGTACCAACGGTAGGGTGTACATGGGGTACCAACTTCTCGAGCCCGTATACTTTGCTTGAATATCAGTATATTGAACTTTTCTGACTCCTCTTTTCTCTGTGTGATGTTATCAGGGGGCATATGAAAGTGAATTTTTACTCCCCGTGTGCACCAGTACGATTTGAAACAGCCATGTAATGTGTAGCAGGTAAGGAGGGTATTCGGTCCTGTCCAACGTGCATGGCGGGCTGCATTAAAGCCACATTATACAAGCAGCAGACCCACTCCCAGGCATAGCTGTCAAGGCGCCTTCTATAAGTACAGTGTGCCCGAATTGGCACATGAACAGATACTCTGCTTTAGTAGGCAACCGGCACGCAAGCAGGATGCCTGCACGCCCACCGTAATCTTTAACAGTTCCCTGCAGCGTTGTTAAATGCACCAAAGTTTACCTGGTTCTACTTGTATTCAAGGAGGGCTAATCCAAGGACCACTGCGAGCTGCAGCGGAACCAAGTGCTTAAGATAACTGTTCCGTAAAAGCAGCTGGCCTCCATCACCAGTTTCCATGCGTCGTGGGTATAGCGGGTAAAACAGATGGAGCTGCGGGAGAGGAAGCAGCATGTCGTGCGTTGCGACGCACCTAAATATTTGGGTAGATTGCAAAACGCACTAGTCATTAAATAAGCATGAGGACACTCGTTACACATGGTAACAACGTTTAGTTCACAAGGGGCAGGTGCGATAAACGATCGTCACACCCACAGCAAGCGGCCTGCTGCATAGTAGTGAGTAGGACAGAAAGCGCCTCAAATATATATATCCTTCCATGCGTATATACTAAAATTGTTTTTAAGAACCCTTCAACAGTACGGTCACGGCCTACCCCAACAGTATGGTCACGGCCTACCCTCTTGGTTCGACGGAGACCAAAAGTCGAGAACCTCGGCAAGTTAAAGGAAACTCAATTCTTGAATCCTATCCAACGGAAATGTTTGTACTGCAAACACGGCTTGTGAGAAATGCCTCCTCCCTTTCTGACAGTCCGAACATGGGAGTTGCCGCGATGCTCGTACAGTAGGTGAGTTTCTTTCCTCTCTGGAGCTATATTTTTGTCTTCAACAAGTTCCAGAAGAGCTACACGTGTCATTGGTATATTTGGTTTTAGACTGCACGACAAGTATAATGGCGGCTATGTCGAAGTAGGGGCAATACTAACACATCCGGAGTGCGGAAGCATTGCGCCATGCGCTGCTGTGTAGCTTTAGCCCCTGGTCAGCAATGGAAAAGGCTACAGATGTGTCCTTAGTAAACAGAAGCTCAGCATTGGAACGCCATGGGGCGCAGTGGTGGGGCCAAAAGAAGTGGTAACCCCACCACAGGTCCTCCTCCATTTAACTCTGTGTTTACCCACGTTTGTATTAATAGGAGTGTGATAGCGTTATTCGGAAAGGTCTGCGAAGTGGATCTGATGCCTCCAGCAACGGTCGGGAAGGTGGAATCACCCATTGCATTCACAACCCCAAACCCCAGAGTCTGCGGCAACCCTTCGGAGATGGCAGATAGAAGACGAGAATTGCCAGGGGTATGGGCGTATAATACGAGCTTAATTAAGAAGTGGGAAACAGTATTATAATGGGGACTTGCACATTTAACCGGGTCACCACACGGTAATCCCAGGCATGAATTTTGTGGCCCAGTAGGGGGGCGCATGCGAATTCCCGACAACGCCATCGAAGCGCATATCCCAGAAAGCTATGAGGAATCTTTCGGGGCTATCGACGACATTATTATCCCCTGAACGGCCTGAGTGCTATGCCCCAAAGAGAAATGAGCAAGAAGATTCTTAGGCAATAAAGGGACGGCGCGACAAATGACCGAGAAATGTATTCACTTCGTGCCACGAAGGCAGCAGTTTTGAGGGATCAGGTAACGTTTAAATCCGAGGTACACCACAAGCCGGCACAGTTGAAGGAAGTGTTCTCAGGTTTATTAAGTAACGGAGAACTATCATCAAGCTGGCCGTCAACTGGAGGGCCACTGCACCCTACCAAAGTCGGTCATCGAGCAACCGTGTTGCAAGGCATTTGCGAGTGCCACATGTCGACAGGAGAAAGGCAGAATGATAGAATATCGCAACTCTCAACCGGCAGCTAGTGCATTTGGAGGCAATACGGTCTTTGCCAAGGAAATGGAAGGGCCACGCCCTTCCATTCCTGGGCGTGGCGCATATGCTTTGATCTCAAGACTCTCAACAAATTCACGGTGAAACGAACTTTTCCAATTGTTCAGTTCGACGAACTTCCTGGCAGTCTGACTTCAGTGGATGATACCCACATATCCAAATACATCCCGATGGCAGGTACAAGGCTGTCTTCCATACCCACACTTGTGAACATAAATACAAGAGTATGCCCTCTAAACTCGTTAAGGCACCTGCCGAATCACAGCGGCATGTCAATCACGGTTATTCGGTCCAACCCATCAGGGGTAGACACATGAATGCCACGCCAAACGTGGGTGCGATCAAAGCAAGATTTCAGGCAAACTCAGCTACAAGAGTGTCAATGGGCCGGATGCCCGCTGGAAGTCCAGCCGCTAGACACCCAGTTCAACCCTTCGATGTTGATCGCCGCTCAGCCCCAACCGTTGGTTTGGTGTACTGGCGACCTCCGCCTCTTGGAGGGAAAAATGAGCTGGAAGAAAACGAACTGATGGGGAGAAGAAAAGTTCAACCGTCGGCCAGTTCATTTGGAGGCAGGATGGTAGTGGCGAAAATTACTGGTAGACAATGTTGTTGCTGGGCTCAATTCTGGCGCCCCAAGAAAATCATAGAAAAACAAGATTTTTCCGTTGTCTCGAAATATGCTTGATCCTTAGCTCTACTTGTTTTTCGAGCCTAATTGGCGCACTTACAGTGTGGGGTTAGGTCGAATGTGCAATGTTGAATCGGCGGGTTGCTCAATATGCCGATTTCTCGACAAAATTTTTCTGTCAATCTCTTACTACAGGTAGCGCGGGGTTTACGCTTGCCCTGCCACATTGTTTACTTCACAAAACTACCATGATGAGCGAGATTGTGTGTTTGTTCTCTTCTGCTAACTCGTCCCGGTAGCTATTTGGCTTAGAGAGGAGATTGTTTTACTTCATAGCTTCCGGTCCATCCCAAGCCAGACCAAAAGGCTCGTTGCACTAAGCTGAAATGGTTTCCATTACCAACACCGGGAGAAACTGTTGCTACGGCCCAAACAGGACTTGGGCAGTCACGGGGATGAGAGAGCTTCTAGGTGGGATAACTTTTTTGTTGGTTTAAAATCTGGGATTAGGAACGCAGTGAGCTTGGCCGTCAGATCGCTGAACAGACTAAAAGTTACAGGGATTCGATGGGGAGAAAACAGCAACAAAGGCATCTGAGGCAGCTTCACGGATCAACAAACAAGCTCGTCAGCAAAATAGAAAGTGTAATATCTGCCGCCCATGCTGGGGAAAATAACGGATGTCAGCAGTGGGCATGGATGGAAACAGGAGGCAGCATTAGGCCAGCTCGTTCGGCGTTGTCTGGAGCCAAATCAACATGTGCGAAGAACGAGAGAAACAGAAATACGATGAAAACATAGAGAGAGGTAATACGCATTTTGTTTGCGGTAATAGTCGCTCTGGTTGACCAGGGGATCCAATTGCCTGCTTGAGCGCTGCCACTACGGCTGCGCAGGAAGAAACGATCCAACTACTGATCCCACAGACGTGCTGAAGAATCAGTATTCCAAGATCAGTAACACTTTTGCTAGGCGTTACAACCATTAAAAGACACGCTGTTATGGTGATGTCAGCTGGAGGGCATCGCACAGCATGCTGCGAGGTGATGCGCCGAGTCTAGTAGATCAGTTCTGCTTTGTCTGTGTGCATGCTTCAAGCGTCTCTCAAACAACTTATTCCTGAGTTTTATTTATTGATGTTCCGTGTTTAAATGCATGCCACACTCTATCACAGTCTTCACTGGGCTCGTACAGCAACAATGCAAGCACAATCTTACTGCACAAAGGGCACGCAAGAACCGTTCCCGCAGGCACGGACAGATCATCTCGTCGGGTAGCAGCTAACGGTTGGAGCAACTCTTGTCTGGTACATTTCCAAAGCTCTATTTTCGGTAAATTATCGCTGAATTCTCAAGGAAACTGAAGAGGACCGCAACGCGACGGCGCGAGTATGGTTGTGCTGGATACCAGCACTGGTCTCATGTCGGAATCCCACATGGGATCAGTGATTAAGGATTCGGATGAATGGTCGTTTATTGAGTATATGCTACAGCTTAGTACACGAACGTCTAGAGTTAAACTCCTTCAAGCCTGGCACGTGGCAACGCCACACGTCGTGAATCTCTTCGAGAGGCGCACAGCTGTCAGTCACATTGGCGTGCATAACGTTTCCATGCGTTTTCTTCCACATAGGCACAACTCTATTCGTACATCTCCCAAGAATAGGGGATTTTTGTCTTTT